GTTCAACTGATGTCCACCAATGCTTTGAGGGCCTTCGTGGCATTTAATCATTATTGCTGTTTTGGTGCTTTCATTAGCGAGATGCTGCATTACCGTCATCTCTCATAGTAACTTTAAGTAGACATATTTTGTGATCTGCAGCCGCAACGAATCTTTTGACTAGTAGATGTCAAAATTCCCAAAGGGGAGCATAGGTGAACAGTTTCCTTACTTTGTGCGACCCCCTCCCCTTTAAAATCGCTTGTTTTGGATGGTTTCATCTCGGCTGCGCCATTGCTTGAGTGGTGCTTTATTGTACAAGGGCAGTACATACTGAAAGCGCTAAACCTTCCTGAGGACTGAAATCTTTCAACTCCGTAGAATTCGTTTGTCACTCACCAGATGGTCGAATTTGTTCAGCTTCGGTCTTTTCAAGTCCTACTACAGTGTTGAAGCCTCAGCAACAGGAGTAATAAAATTGAGGTGCATGTGCGAAAGTCAGGTTCCCTCCCTGTTTCCCTCACCCACCACCCTACCCACATTTTGAGATCAAGCCATAAAGACTAGTCAAATTCGCTACTTCTGTTCTCAGGGTTCATAAAATCTGCACAGTGAAGGTGCAACTGTTTCAACAGACGGTTTATCACTAAGCTGTCAGTAAGCGTTCGTCTTGCCATTAACATCGTCAAGTGAACTCCAATGAGGGACTGCTCCTTTCAAAACGTGTCGAGAATGCCTCTTCAAAGCCACCACTGTCCCCTCCTTTTGGTCGGTACAATTTTGGTTTACGTTGGGTGACCAATCTCTTGTGAATCAACACCATGCCTTGAACAAAGAGGCTACTCTATGTTGCTAGTCATTTGTGTGGAATTATACCACTTATAAAAATTCTACTGGAGTATTCGTGGCAAAAACCTAGGTTCTTATGAGATGAAGATAATGAAGAAGATGATGATGGGGTCTTGCGTCTTCCTTATTCACAGGATTTAACAGTGATTTCACTCTGCTTCTTCACCTGAAACTCCCACATTTTGACTAAGGTCCAGTGTTTCAAAGTGCTAAGGTTTCAATTTGGTTTTTATGGAAATAGTTTTCCCCACGAATGGAGTTGAATCCCCGAGGACCTATCCACTCAGTAAAAAGGCAATTGGGTGTAACCAAGTCGGTCATTGCAAGCCACAAAGGCCTGCAGTTCCGATGTCAGTGGGATTAGCTCCAGTGGCAAAAATTGGAACGCAGTTTTTGTGTTCGTGCTGTCATATCAACCGCCCAAAAGGGGACCACGAAGACCCGACAGGTGGTCAGCAGGACCCACTTCTTTGTTAGGAATGGAGGCCTCGATTTTCGACAAGTGTGCCCGTGCGTGCGTCCACTTCGTCCACGTGTGAAGCGCTTTGCGTTGTCATTTCAAGTAGTTGTGTGACTGAAACAAAAAAACTCTGATTTCATTTTAGGACCGGGAGTATCAGTCTACTCATTCCATGCTCTTGTCTCTCGCCCTGTGGCCACATTAGCCAAATTCTTCGGCAATTGCCATGTTACGAGCATCAATCTTTATTTCCAAGATTATGTGTGCACAAGTCCATTTGCATCGGTCTGTTCGACAGTTTAGCCAAGGAGGTACTGCACTATCAACCAAAAAGAAATGAAATATTAGGCTCATTAGCCAAGCCAAATTCTAGCTTCGAATGCGACTAGAAGTGGACACACTCTTCAATCTACTCGCCTATTCTAATTTAGTTGGATGTGCGATTTGAGAGCTGGGGGCATGAGCGTTTGATGCCTTGCAAAAAGACGTAATTGGAGTTTAACCCGTCCCCATATGTACCATATGGAATTGACCATATATGTACCTGATTTGTACAATCATACTCACATGCACATACTTTGTATTTGGCACCGACCACTTTCCTAGAGGGTCACTCAATTGGTAGGTGAGTGTAGAGCACAGTAAACTACCGGAAGTCAGCTTGAAATCAACTTTGTGCTGTACTATGGGCCCCATCTTTGAGACTACTAAAGCCTACGCATTAGTAAAGGAATTAACGTAAAACTAGTACTGATTAAGCAGTCAACTTTTCATCTTCGTTGTTGGAGGTATTTATTAAGACAAGTCAATTGAGCTTCCGAAGGTGTTGGTGAATTGGATAAAAAATGGTTCCACCTTCAGAAGAGCATTTACCTTCATGAAAAAGGCAGAATTATGGCTGGCAAAGGCTCACAGGGTCAAGTTGACGGTGAAGCCTATGACCACCACCTAGTGGGATTCGTCTTGGTTACACCGGACACTCCATTTTATTGCTCATCTCGAATTAGTGACTTAAATCATGGCTAATAAATTAAGGAATTGCCATGGCGCTTAACTCAGGCTAGCGTCAACTTAAGATCCTTCCAGTTTTCGCCATCTTGAGATGATTGACAGGCTCCGAATTGCAATGTGTCGACGATTCCGCTTCAGGCGGACTAGTTGTTTGTCTCCAACTTGGGAGGTGGGAAAACGTACGCGTGCGTTTAACTTCCTTGATCACCAACTCTATTACCAAAGGGGTGGAAAGGGAGTGGCTTAAGGAGATGAAGTGGATACGAACACGAAATGGAGCCGAAATGCAAGTGAATATCGGTTTACAGTGGCGTTGAACTGTATCGGAAACGTCTCAGCTCATACTGACATCTAAGCTATGGTTGCATCAGAGTCTCCATTTGTTCACTTTTTTCGTCAATAAAAAACTCATCCAAAATTTTACTTCCTTAAAACCTTCTATGGGAGCCAGTAGATCCGAAGAGGTAAGTAAGGTAATGAAGGTCTCGCTTAACTGATTTGTCTCTAATTTTGGTAAAAACCGAAATATGGGTACCAAGCTGATCCGGAATGCTGAAATGGTTTGAGTTGGAACAGTTGGAAGAAATGCATGAAGTAGAATACCGCATTCCTCAAAGAGAACTTTTACCAGCTTTAGAGTAACCCGTTTATACTTACAGAAGAAAAATTTATTCCAATACCAGTGAGAATGAGTACATGAATCCCACTGTCATTCAAAGGGTGAAGCTATTCTAATATAATAGGGACGTTTAAATCAAACCTTCACTGAAGGGAATCCTAATTAATAGTCGGAAGAATCTGTCCCATTCCCAAATTCGGTTTAATTTGACAACGCTTTTTAGATCAAAGCATAGTATATGCAAATGCAGAACTATCTTAACTTCAAAAGAAGTTTAATCCTGTTTCCCACAAATGGAACACGTGGGGAGCTGCGGAAACTACCGACGGATGTCTGAAAGGTGCGGATCACCTTAAATCGTGTCAAGTTGTGTTCACTTGCATGGAATACCTGCATGCAGTTGTGCTTCGCTTTCCAGTCCCACAGCAGTTGGTGCGGGCGACATTCAGCATTCTTTGACGCAAAAAGCGCCTCAACTAAGCTCTCGGTACCTACTGACCATCATAATGTTATACAATAGGAGACCTGTTAAATATGAGACTTTCTCGTACATCCCGAAAAGGTAATCTTGGGTGCGAGGTAGCAAAATTTGCCGAAGCAATTAGACCATAAATACCCAGTTATAGCAGAAAGATTATACTTTATTTGAAGGACTATTATTTTAGACTAATATCACATTGATAGTTGATTGTAAAAGCATACTTCAGTACTACTTTGAGAATTCTTGAAAGAAGAAAAAGGCTTTTACATTTTGGCAGCCCTGCAGACAATAACAGCTTTTCACCATCTTCCATTTGAGAAAGCCCTTAGCCTGCCAGGATCGCAATTCAAGTGAAATAGCTCAAAGAACCATTTTTGACCAGTATAGAAATATTACTATTAAACGTAAACAATGACTAGACCTATTGTTTGGTACAAGAATAGCGGCCGAAGTAGTGACCCAGTCATTAGTTCCCGCAAGATCCAAAACAAGTCACCATAATTTAAATAACTTCTTTCGAAAGTCTTTCCAATTTAAGCGCTGGTGAAATGGTCATTTCCGTTAAGCCTACAGGCTAATGCACTCCTGTGAATGAAGCATCATTTTAGCAAATAAACTGTGCGTGGCACGTCCCACACGATCAAAGATATAATGGAAAATAAAACTTAAGAGCATTCACTTCCAGCTTGAAAGGGACATTATAAAAACCCAATGTTAAGGTCTATGCTGACGAAATGTGAATGGAACGCATATCGCTGAGTACATTTACATAACGATATGCACCAGCGACGATGTGGACTTCGTGCCTTCGAAGTTCACACTTCTTAAAGATATTTTGTATTTATTTTTTTTAGGAAACTAGTTCGACAGAAAACTATTATTAAAATTGGTACGCAAACAAGCGTTCGACCAATAGAATTTTGCGTATTAGAAGGGGTTGCTGCTGCACTGATCATTCTAACCAATAGGAATGGAGCGATACCCCATTGGCCACTGGATGCGACGTGTGATTCATAATGGCTAGTGAGACAGCGCTCGCGTGTTTGTATGCAATAGATCTTTTCGGACGGGCGCCTTTCTCCATACTCACTCCCAGCGAATATATAATAGGCTGATCGAGACCAAGTACACATCCATTCGACAGATTGGCTGCTATGACGACTGACAGCGCTTCCGTTAAGGTAGTCACCAACACTTAATGCATGCACCATCTTCGTTTATTATTATTCCCTCTATAATTTAATAATGTTTTGTTATGCATGATCGGCTGTATTCACACAAGGCTAAGGAAATTAAAATTTAAACCACACGTCTGTTGGAATCTGTCACCGTCGTATTCTTTACGCCCTACTTTAGTTTATTTTATCAGCCATATCACGGTGGGAATCCCTTCTCCTGCGTCACTAATTTAAGTCCCGGTGGTTGTCATGGCGAGAGCCCATTCTGCTATTGCTACGCCCCAGTGACCTCATTTGGCCTTTTTTTTTCAAGTGGCTAGGCTAGTCCACCCAATTTATCATATCCACAATTCATATGCAAATAGTGGAACAAGGAAGGCTTTAAAGGGGCATATGCAAATGCAGTGTATCTTTCAGGTGCAAATGCTTCAGCGAGCAGCGGGATTAGCAGCTGGCGAAGAGAGCGAGGAGGCTTGGTACCTGGTGCATCTCTTCCAGCGTACGCAGCCCCGTGAACTCCTTCGCATTTGCCACTTCACTTTAGCCACATTCCTGGAACTCAATTACGAATATTTTGACGAGGGCTGGCCACTCCAGTCCCGGTTGATCGGCTCCTCCACATTTGCTTCTGCTGCCTCTTCTTCATCCTCCCTCTGTCAACGTGGTTGCATGCTGAAAGGCAAGGCGGAGCGATTTCGGCCCCGTTCGCCGCCACCACCACAGACTGCGGAGGCGACACCGCCAGTGACACCGGGACGGCAGCCTTCAGGGGGCGGTCAAACGGAACGTTCGGTGTTTGCCACACCCAAGTCGACGTCTAAGAGGCTGGCCTGGCTGAAGGGGAAGTATTTGTTACCTTCGAAGTTGTCCGTTTTTACACCGACCTCATCCCCTGCTCCAACGATGAGTATGAACCGTTCAGTGTCCGGTGAGTTGTACTGCTGGTGTTTGAGAGGCTTTATAAACTGAAAGTGACAGATTTCGGTAGAGCTTGATGCAAGTGAGATGTAAGTCGGTGGATATTTAGCTCGGTTAAGTGTAATATCAGGGAAGATCCGTTTATGACGAGCTTGGGGCCTTATCAAGCTTGAGATTGATTGCCCTGCTATTTAACTTTCGCAGGTGATGAAGGCAAGATGAATTTCGACAAGGTCAAGGTTAAAACTTCTATTCTTAGGCTGCCCATGAGTTTCAACACGAATAAATCAACGAAAATCAGCTATTTTTCCAGTTTATGATGCGAAGCCATTGGGATGTTTGGACTTTGAGCTACTGGTGCGAAAAATGAGCAAATTGTAAACTCAAATCATCAGTAGGTCTACCTGAAACAATGAAAGGCAAAGTCTGCGGGGGCAAGCGTTTTTGAAAGGCGTTACACTTTGACATGCAGCCTAGGTCAATCAGGGCGCCCTCAAAGCGCATAGTAGATGCGTCAAGTACCTGCCAAAAATTTGTTCCAAACTTTATACCCTTGCAGTTGGGTGGCCGTAGTATATAATTGCTTGATCCAGCCTTAGAGTAGTGTTTTTGAATGACCGGAGTTAGTGCTTTACTTGTGAACACGTTTGTGCTTGTACTCACTTGGATATCCGTAGCCTGCAAAGACACGAACAATAGCTTTTACTATTCTTTCCAAGAGGAATGTTGCCTCTTTTCCTGGCTCAGTAATCAAGGTGGTATTAATGGCTCAACCTCTTCTTCGGGTAGTAACTAATAACCAGGGTGGTCCTCTTTACGCAACTGGAGTATTTTGTGACCAAATGACCCGGAGGTCGACTTCATTTTTTCTCTCCTTCCAGTTGTGACCCCATCAACGACCTCCGCGAAGTTTGCCTCCACTTCCACGTCCGATTTCCAACATCTCTCTGATGTAAACAAACGTTTACAAAGATTGCCGTATTACGAAAACCCCGACTATATCCTCTGTCGCTACATTTCCGACTACATGCTGCAGACTTCCGGTACGTCATTCATCGCTTTCCGGTCTTGAAGAAGGTGTGGTAAAGAATTCCTAGTGTCGTAATTCTTGCTTTCTAGATCTGCTATCAACAGAAGGTCTATTTCGCCGTCCAGGCAGTTTATCACGAACAAAACAGTTGTACAGTGACTTGAAGGAGTGCTTAGTGGATAGAAGTGTTGGCAAAGGAATCGTTCGTTCAGGAGTCTCTCTAACGTGTCTTTCCGATGCATCAAACACTGTCCCCAAATCTATGGTCCGTCACATCCAAAATCACCACTCAGAGCGTCGAGCGGCCGTCTACGATCTGTTGAACTCGGCTTTGGTCTACGACGTCACCAGTGTCCTCCTTCGCTGCCTCTCCTCCACTCGCGTGAATGCTACCTCCGACAGCGGCCTCATTCCCCCCGAAGCCACCGACCTTTTCGTTAAAACCACGAGTCTGCAGTACAATCTTAAGGACGGGGATCCTGTCTACTCTCTGGATCCCACTACCGACTGGATGCATCTCCTCTGTCATGGGAGACAGCTCCTCGCCTATCGAATCATCATCCAACTACTTCTCCCCGCCCCTGAGCGCCAACTCCTTCTTAAACTACTCGCCCTTCTCCACAAAATTGCTTCCAACACTCAGGAGACGAGAATGTCCTCGGAGGCCCTAGCACGATGTCTAGCTGTCGCTGTGTTCGGGATTCCCGATGATGCAGTGGCCATGGGTCATTACATTGACACGCTGATCAATCTGATCGAATTGTTTGAGGACTTGGAGATCCTGCCAAGGATGATCTATCAACAGGTGCGCAGTTTTTTGAAGTCAAAACTGGGCACTTCGCCGATGAAGAACCCCACCAGAGTGAGGGTGAATCAGACCAACTGCAGCTCTGTTCTGGTGGACAAGTCCGTGCTCAAACGTAGCTGGGCTACCTGTCAGGTCTCTATTGACACTAGCGATCTATCATCGGTAAGAATAAATTGTTTTCGTGACAAACTTTATACTGTTATCTCTGTAACGCGGTGGTAACAGAGATCACGTTTATGAAGTATTGGGATTAGTTTTTTCAATCACCATCCGACTAGACGATTATATTTTTTGGGACATTCCTCACCTTAACTTGCTTCGGCCACCAGTCCAGACTTGATAACATTTTCGTGTTGCCTCGAGTACTAATTTTGTTGCCCACTTGGATTCAAAAGTTAACGAAAAATTGTGCAACATTTGGAACTTTTTGACGTTCTAAATGACTATTGGCGGAGCAGAAATAAACTGTTGTGCTTGTACCATAGTGGCAGTTGCAAAACTGGGGCAGTTATGAAAAGCCTTTTGGAGCTCTTCAGATCATCAAGCGCAGCCCGTGTGCCACTGTTATCACTAGTAGCAACTGTGCACGTGTCTCTTACAGACCTCCAGTGGGAAGGAGAATCGGTCTTTTCCGCTCTCGCATCTCTGTTTGTGGTCCAAGATTTCACCGGCCCGCACCCGGCATTCGCGCACACCATCACCAATATCACGACGGTCGTCAGTGTCATCCACCACAACCACCACCCACAGAACGCCCTCCAAGATGTTTTCAGCGATGCAACGCCGACGTCCGAGGGCGCCTAGTCCCCTCCTCGTTTGGAAAAAGCAGCGCTCTGTGCTGTCAATGAAGAAGTCAAAGTCGCTCTGCCTTAGCACCGACGCGAGGGACACGAAAAGTGTGAGGTGTGAGTTTTCGCCACTGCGATAGCTACTTACCGAAAATCGCTGTACTTCCTCGCCTGTGATATTGGTAACTCAACCCCCATTCGACTGTGCTTCCCTCCCTTTTACCCGCCCCATCTGTATTGATATTGTAAATTATATACACTTCTTTTTTGCGTTGGGTTTGGAGTGTAGAAAACAGTGCGGATGTTACGAATAGGCGTGGTTGACAAGGCTTCCACTGATAGCTGGCAGTAGTTTGTGCTCTATCGGTTGCTCTCATTTGTGAATAAATGCTTGTTTTTTGCTGTGGGAGTCTTGCTTTGGCAATAGGATTCAGTCATTCGAATTTCGCGCTACACTAAGTTGTTGAGAAGAGGAGCGTGTTTTTTGGACGGTGAGGTACTTGGGAATTTGGGTATATGCGCGAAGGAAGCTGGGGGCAGAGGGGTCGCGACGTGGGTGTCGGTGCCTCGGCGTGTTCGTCGATGGGCTGTAGCCGGAAAGTTGGTCGTTGGAGGTCTCGAACGGTGTGTTCTGTCTAGTTTTGTGTTGCTGCGAGACTAGGACTCCTAGCTACCCTCGGTCTAGTGGTGCCTCATATCAGATTCAACCCCAGCTTTGCTGCTTGCTACGCGGCAGCGGGTGGATCGCTGGTGTCCGACGTCGGCAACTGGCAAGTTTCAGCGTTCACAATGTGCATCAGGTGTCACCTCTAAAACACCTCACCTGTGGTATTGATCGCCCCTCTGTCACTTTTTTTCTGTAGTCAATGAGCCTGTTAAAAGCTTGTGGTGACGAAAGTGAGTTTATGAAACGCGTTACTAGGATGTGGACGAAGTTGTCGGTGGGTGAGGAGGCGCATGGACGATTTCGACTAGGACTTATTCGTTCGAATTCTGTGCGTGCTATCGTTTTCAGACACTATTTCATTTGACATCCGCTGACAGCGGGAGCTAACGATTCGCTAGTAAAATCCCGTTTTGTCTACACAGTGCGGTGCGAATATTACTGAGAATTTCTTCTGAAAATGAGTAGCGAGTAAAGTAGGTATAAAAATGGAAAGAATGCTTTCCTTCGAGTGTGAAAATGTGTCCCATCAGTAGTGTTTCTTAGCAGATATGGGGTGATTTGGAACTCCCCACGATCGTCTCATCATTTTCATACTACCTCAACTGAAATGCTGTAATTTGGGTGAACCTCAAAAAGGCAAAATCCTAAGGTTCGATGGAAAATTAGAATGTTCTGAAGGGGATGAGCGAATTACAATAAGTATGCGCTTGGCATCCTTCCAAATTATCTCCAATGATCAGTTGAAGAATAGAGTATGAAATGCAATCTACTGCGTGACGACCGATGCCTTCCCGAAAAGTACTTCTTCCAAGACTAACTAAATAATTGTAGAAATCAAAGGAAAAGCGTGAGTGAAAATAAGCGTTCTCTAAATTCAAAATTTCCAGCATAATGATCTATTTATAAATTAGGATTGATACTACCAACGGTAAACCAGTGTTTCATGAATTTGAATTGGGCCTCTTGTGATTAGAATATTGTGTAGCCCCTGGAGACTTCTTTGAAGACGAGAAGAGACATAATACTAGGACAGAATATGTACTCCCAACGTGTAGAAGCCCCGGATGGCTACTGGCATGGCTTGGATATCATACCGCCAGGTAGAGGTAAAATGAGTAGCTCCTAGGTGGTTCATTACCAAAACCGAGGGTTAAACAATTAATTGAATCATTATAGTCATGGCTAAAAACTTCTTGTGACCTTTACCTGATTGGGAAGTAAAAATTGAAATTAGGGGTCAAGAGAGATGGAAGATACATGGACCGATCATTTCCAACAAGGCCAAAGCGGATCACTGCCACAATGCTTCAAAGATTTAGTTTCAGCAGCATAACAGCAAAAAGTAAAACCTCAGATCAATTAAGTCCCCGAGGTCGAAGATTCCTCCCTTTTGAATTCTGCAGTAACTGTTGGGAAGTCAGCCATTGATTCAGTTTCTATATGTTGAATACAGAATAAAAGTAAAAAATCTTGTAGGTAAGCCCTTATGCGTCATTTGTCACAGTCGAATCCAACAATATGGGCAACCATACTGCATTCGTGATGGCGTCCACCCGAACTGTTATTCAACAGCGTATGGGCAAGTGGACAATTAGGCATAGTTGCGAGATCCACCTCCTGCACCCTGAATACTTTCAGGCAGTAAAACGCCGTAGAGCAGGGGAGATGCTGACGATCGTGTCGCGATGAGACACACTATTCGCTGAAGCGGATGACGCAAATCAAAGCACCGACGGACGGGTCTATTTAGATTGACAGGTGGCGGCCGAGGTGAGTAGCGGCCTTTTAAGTTGTCCACAAGGTGCCTCCTAACGGGGTGTAGTGAAGATAAGGCCAACCCTAAGTGCATTGTTTTGATCGGAAGACATCAACGGTACCAGCGTATAAAGGATTTCAAATCGGCCATCAAAATTTGTTTAATGTAATCTAAAATTGTGTTATTTGTTTTTGTGGTACAATATTAGGCATCTCGCTAATCCCTCCGTTAAAATGGTGATTAACTGACTATCAAAAAGTTTGCCAGCAATGAAGAGTCTGATTGGTACCTGTGATTAAGGTGATCTCCAAAGATAGCTTACAATGGCAAAAGATCTAAAGTGAATTTGGTGACTGTTAGCCTTCACTATCTATCCATCCTTAAAATATTTATTTGCTCTACCACTGAATTGTTCCCATTTTGAAAGTTGTTTGAATAAGTCCTTGTGCAGAAAGCTGAAAGATGTCCTCATCAGTTCATGTGAATGTCCTATTACCTCTCCATTCATTTTCAATACGCCGTCTATTGACCTTACTTAAACATCACATGGTAGGGAGTGAGGTAAGGAAAACCCGATTTTGCGTGCAGTTTGTGGAATTCGTAGCAAATAGGAAGAGCAGAGCATGTACAGATCGGTAGCCTGTGCCCCTGAGTATCTGCGTTTCCTGGTAAAATCTACAGTTGGGTCATAGAGTAGAGGTTTTGTTGACTCCTTTCGTTCTCTAATAGAGTCAGCTCTCTTTTTTGTGCTTAACAAGGCCTTGCCTTTCGTAAATGGTAAAATCCACTAAATAGGGATATTTTTGCCATTTGAAATCTTTTGATAGAATAACATTATCATTGAGCTTTTTTATAGCATCCTCAATAAGTATTGGCTGCTATGCATCCTCCAGTCCTAATCATTTTACACTGGAGATAGCGAAACGGAATTTCTAGCCCACAAACAAACCGAAATAGGTGCTAGTACTTGATTCGATGTTGGATGCCGGTGGCGCTCACTGCTGCTTCAACGAGAGCGTTAACCTGATACATTCCCGATATATTTTGATCAAGGTTTCAATGTGATTTAAAACTTTATTGTTCACTGTTTCCCAACTAGGCTTCAAAAATCCTCAGTACAGGCGTGTATGGAATCAGTTCCATATTAGTGCCCCAAGCACCCCCCCCACCCTTTTGCCGTGGGGTCTTCCGGGCACTCGGCACAAGGCGGAAGAATACCTCATAACTCTCCTACCGTGGGTAATGGAATGCCCTAAGTGAAAAATACTGGATAGGCCATACCGTCATTGCCTGGTTTTGTAATACCCACACAGGACACTGAAATTTTTCCCATAACTAGCCCTTTTAATAAGGATGTCTTTCAAAAGATGCAACTTTTTCCATTAATAAGAAAGTCGCGTTTTCTAGCGCACCGGGTTTCAGTGAACAGCGAGGATATGTGGGAGAATGCGTCTAAGTAATAATCTCCTCAAGAGTTATTTTGTCATTTTTCGTGCTGTCACACATTTGTGCCATCGAGTTCAGATAAGTTAGGCTCTCCTACCACGCTTTCAAACGAAATCAGCAACTCGAAATTTGAAGTTGTCACTCCAAGAATAATGGTCTATTGCATGTCGGAATTGTGGACAGCAAGCCATCATCATCGAAACGCCCAATCAGTTTTCGCTAGAACCCTGTGACTACGGTTAGTTCAATTGATTGCCTTTCTTCCGGTAACCGTGTCGCTACTTCAGACAGTGCTGACAATGCATTTTCCCAACCAGACGACAGAGGGTGCTGTTTAAGGAAAGTTTGCCATACTCAAAAGTGGCTCAGAAAATGGACAAAATGCTTAGCGATTTGTAAAATAAAACTACCAGATTTAGGTACTGATCATTTCGATCGGCTTCGGAGCGTTAACTGGATAAAAAGGTTTTCCTTCTCTTTAAATTCATATCTTTCCCCACTTGATGTTCAGTTCAGTGCGTGGAGCGGGTAAACACAATTGGTATAATATCTGAGGGCCATGAGAGATGTAAGAAATCTGGCCATCCCAACGGCGAAACCTTTCTCAGCAGAAATTGGGTGGCATTCTTGAAGACTTGTGATAACTTAGGATAGATTTTACAAGGAAGCCTGGTGAACTTCAATGAACGGCTGTACTCCACCGTCCATCTTTCTACTGCCAATCAGAGCACAACTATAAATTCCCTTAACAACTTGTCTAAATAATGCCTGATTCGAAAAGCGTCTACTCCCTTTGTGTTGGCGTATTATAGATGCAGCCTGAAGGCGACGCAGGTATTTATGAGGCTGGGAAAAAAAAGGTGGACTTTCATCTCTATCAAATACAACTGAATCACATAGGCGACACTCTTCAACTGAAGGGGGCAATGAGGGTGTGCTAACACACTGCAATTATGATGTTTGAGGAAGGTGAACGCGACTGCCGACGAGGGACCAAGTGTTTATTTATCGGCACTGGACTGACCGGACAGGCTGTGTAGGTGAGCTATTATAATTGACACCCGCCGTGTGTCCCCTGGTAACAGTTGGCGCACGCGTCTGGTGCTTCGGTTGGAATTGAATCGACCTCATTTATACTTGTACAGCTAAATGTTTCAGTACAATACATAGAGGAGAACCGTAGAGGTTGATGGTTCAGCTGCCCCAACACCTTCGCCTTGAATCGTTTATCATCTGGCCTCCATTAAGACTCACTTCACGATTGTTGGACGTGTCTACGAGTTATATTTTGTGTCCCCAGGGCTGGGGCAAAGAGAGACAATTTAAAATTGAAACTTTGTTTCTTAGGCAACAATGACGTCGTAACCGACAGCCACAGCAGTTACACATGCAATAAGAGGTCGCCACACGAAGCACGCGCAGCGGCGAGATGGATTGAATTTCATTGTCTTCTCTCTAAATGAGCGGAGAGTCCGCCTTACTGTTCTCTCGATGAGATTTTTTGATTATACTACCGACTGCAGTGTGAACTAGACTTGGTTAGGTCCAAAATATTCACCACTTTCTTTTGATTGTTTTGAAATTGCGTCAAATAAACCAAAAATCAGGTTTACGAAAACTTTTACTACTTTCGACAGTAAGAACAAAATCACAAATTTTGAACCAAAACTCGGTATAACATTGAAATTTGTTTTCATATTATTGGATGATCCATCCCAAAGGAGAATTTGATTCCATAAAGGAAGGGAAAAAAAAATTCCAAGGAGTGGAAGCAACTTTGCCGTGTAGGGGTTTGTCAGTCCACTTGAATTATTCCAGGACAACCTGCTTTTCTTTGTCAGGCTTGTATTCACCGGTTCGATGGGTGGATTCGCCATACGTGAGAATGCAGAGCAGGTTATGGTATTCAAAGCCAGGCGTTCTGTTCACAAGAATGACTGTCAT